GAACGTCAACAACAACCGAACGTCAACAACAACAGAACGTCAACAACAACAGAACGTCAACGACAACAACATCACAACGTCAACAACAAAAGAAAGTCAACATTATATTACTAGTTAACATGTTAGTAAATTTGTTATACTTACGAACAAAGGATTTCCATTGGTCTCTTTCTCTCCAATTCTCAGGCCAGGCTAAGAGTACTGTGTTTGGCTCCAAAGCACCTAACCCACTAGCCTGTATCCTGTAAATGCAATAAGAAAGTGATCATCGGCGCGCACTAGCTCAAAGGTAAACCAAAGGGTATATCAATACATACAGATAGGATATTCCTTCCTTGACGTCTTCGGCAGTTATCACCTTCATGAATCCTTTGACTTTCTCATCGTTCATGTTCTGACGTAAAATCTGTGAAAGCATTTYGTAAAATGTGACCTGCTACTGAAATCGCGGCAAAGAACCAAAGTAAAAATTGTGCAGACAAAGTTCAGGGATTCATATCGTCAGCATCTTTCGCTGATGGTATTCACATCACCCAAAGTGCAATCGGGGCTTGACATGCAACAAAACCTTCGCCATACTTCTTTGAAATATTTGTCAAAAACGTAAGGTCTTAAAAATAACCCTTAATAATCATAAGATGTAGCACACCTCTTTAGCAGATTGAACATCTTTTGCTCTCTGTTCGTAAGTAAAGGATCCCTCCAAGACAGAACCAACTACTGACAGTCCTCTACCTGAAGAGGGAAACAATGTGTGTGTATAAAATAATGCAATCTTGTATTTCTTCAAACTGTTTATATAATAATGTAATCTTGGATTTCTTCATACTGGAGTAGAGTTGATATGAGTGAATCATAAAATACTGAGTCTCTCAAAATACACTCAATTACAAAATCATTGTGGGATTTAAGAACTTAGGACTTAGAGGCCGAGACCGAAATGGTACATTTGAAGTACGTTAATTAGATGTAACTTGGAATGTTCATAAATTGTTGAACTGACAGACACCATGAAGGCTTTTTACACATGTTTCAAATCGAATATGTATCTCAAATAAATACATCAGGGCCGGTTGAATAAAGGCTGACTAGGGCCACCCTCTGGATAAATCAGCGAATAAAACCACTAGTGTAGGGAGGGGGRAAGGCACGTGCATTCGGCACCAAAATCTAATTAATTCATGCAGGATTCCAGCCTTTGTGCAGCCAGATCCAGAGGATAATTTTGTCATTTCGCAGCATACCTTTTGTTATTAGCTTTTACTATGTAATAYTTTGCAAACAAGTGTATATTCACTGTGAACCACATTGCATGGGCGTATTTATTTGAGCATTAAACTTACCCTTTTTGAGCTGACTGGCAAGGCTGAGAAGACGTGGACTTTGAGGCTGATAGCCTTCGTTCAGCTTACATAAAATCAGTATCTCAGGCCTGGGAAATTGTCAGAGAATTTTAAGGATTGAGTCGGCTACAATTTTCTTGGCAAAGGAGGGGTACAGATAGATAAACAGAAAAACAGACAGAACAAAGACAAGGACAGAAAGACAGCCAGGCAAGCAGGCAGACAGAGACAGAAACTAGGCAGCCAGACAGACAAAAAGGCAGATAGACAGACAGACAAAAAGGATAGCTGTTAATAGAAAAACACATTATTCCTACCTCCAGTTCTTGGTATGTGTGGGGCCTTCTTCGAGCCTCATCAAGCTGTAACGAGCAGCACTCAGGTTCAGACCTCGGATACCATCACCCCACTCCTTCTTGGCACTGAAGAACAGATGAAGCTGATCAGTGACAATAAATGACATGATATAAAACAAATTAATAGGACGTTTGCACGATGGTGTCATTGACCTCTACTACCAGAATCCCTTGCACACTTTCTAACTATTATCAAGATGGAATACAAATTTAAATAAGAAAGAAAATTCACGAAGAATTATGGTGATGAGAGTCAAACGACGCCATTATGCAAACGTCCTATTGGAAATACTTTTATGACACAGCACCATATGGCCACCCCAGAGAAGCGCGTTTTCAACCTCTTACTCTCTCGGACAAGGAAACAATGATTAAGACATACTTGCGCACATGTTAAAAATTCACATATTTTGTACAAGTCAAACTCACCCTTGAAACTCAATGTATTTATAGACGGCAGCGGCAATTATCATTGCCACTAATGCGTAGTACCAACTGGATATGAACATCAGGGCTACACATAAGCAAACTCCAAGGAATGACGTAAACCTGCAGAGAAAAACATATATTATAGCCAGGGGTGGATCCAGGATTTTTTCAAAGGGGGGGTTGTAGCATTGATTGAGGTACTTGTTTGGCGGGAAAGTAGCACAGGGTTCCCAAACGGAAGTAGGTCTTATGAAGGTGGATTGTTTGCTGCAGGCGAGAATAGTTGTTTCAGGTCCCACACACGGCGTATAGAAAAAAAAGCGAGCAAAATGTGTTCGGCACCCCTGTTTTAATAAAACTCGGGATGCTGTTGGTGTTGTCATGAAAAAATAATAATAATAATAATAATAAATCACGATGGCTCTCATAGGGGGGTTGCAACCCCCAAAACCCACCCCTAGATCCGCCACTGATAGCGTTAAAATTCATGAAAAACTTGCAGAGATCTGTGCTGACAAATCAATGTACAAATCAATGTACATGAAACCTGTGTAAACAAAATTTACTGATAACAGTAAATTATAGTAAATGCATTTTACAATGCAATATGATGTACTCACCAATGATAATACTTGAATCGTGGCCGCCAGTTGGGGGTTTTCAGTAAAGACTGCACCACACATGCTAAGTTAACGAATGCATAGCACATCAGGAAAAACCTGCCAATTAAGTGAAAAAATGACTTGATTATATTCCATTGAAGGAACTGATAAGCCATCTGCATAACAGCAATATTGTACTAACACTACCAGAAGCCTTTGCCAATTTTCTTTCCACGAGAATAGCAAGACAATTAATCTTTTCAAAAATAGCAACCATGGTGCACTAGCTTGGGTAGAAACGTCTTTTCATCATGCCTTATATGGTGTCGTTTGTACCCAAGCTAGACCACAATGCATCCTGGTTATAAAACTCAGAAAAGGCCTATATATTCTGTTAATATATTCTATCTAATTACTTCACTATATATTCAATTTATTATTTTCTTTGTTGAAGATGTAGAGCTACTCTGTAGATATGTTTCAATACGGTTATTGTTATTATTATCATTATTATCATTATTATTAGTAGTAGTAGTAGTAGTAGTAGTAGTAGTAGTAGTAGTAGTAGTAGTAGTAGTANTAGTAGTAGTAGTAGTAGTAGTAGTAGTAGTAGTAGTACTCGATGCTATAGGTTTTGATACTTAATAATGAGTCACTCAATTTTAATTATTTCTCTAAACTGGTAAAGGATGATTTTCTTACATGGTAATAATAGGAGCCACACTGTCCAGGTTAGCAATCAGGATACCAATCTCTGATATACAAATAGTCAATAGTAAAGCTCTAGTTGGTTCACCAGACTTGGAAGCCACAGAGAATATGTTCAAGAAGGGGATGATGTTGTCACGGGCTATTGCTTGTAGAAGACGAGGTGCACTGTCAATGAGAAATATACCATCATTAATATAAAAATGGAGTCATCATTTGCATATACAGTGATACCTCTATTATGCTGACACCCTTAATTGATTAGTTGTAATGTAGTGAAATTTTCTCCTGGCATAGTAACAGTTACACAAACTCCAGGCAAGGTCTTGATGTTTGGTTAATAGAGTTACTACACTTGCACAACTTACTACTGTGGTATTACTCTTTCCAGTAGACCAAGGCAGTTGTGAATTTTTCATTATCTTCTTAGTGTCTGTTATAATGTTAAACCCCAAGTTCATTTCATTTCCACCACGTGATGCATATGTTGTACCATTTGGACAAGTTTTTACATTACATGATAAAAACAAGACTGCACTTCAAGTGGTGTAAAACACTTGTTCAATTGGTACAACATTTGCATCACATGGTCAATTTGAAATGAACTTGGGATTAACATAACAGATGCTGAGATGCATAAAAAAATTCACGACTGCCTCGCCGTTGGTCTACTGGGAAGAGTAGTACCACTGCAGTAAGTTGGTAACAATGGAGTTGGGATGATGAATGTGCCTTCCAGAAATATATTTTCTGGATACCTGGATATTTTAGACTAAAAAAGGTAGAGTTTGTTTTTGTTTCAGGTAGAAAAAAGAAAAAATCCTGAGAAAGTGATACAATTAATTGAAGAAAGTAAGTAAATAGAATTACCCTGTCAGGCTCTGCATACCAGCACCAACTGTCGACAAGAATGAGCCAATCAAAATGACCCATTTGGTTGGCCAGGCTATATTAGCGACTACCATTACACTACCAATACTGCGACCAAACCTGCAGGAAAAGAACAGAAATTTAATTGTGATCAGCCGTATAATGCTCAAGATGATGGCAATGCTGTTGACAATACTTATATTAGATTAAAGCATGAATGTTAATGCTCAACAAACAACAAATTAATTTTAAGCACACAGAAAAACCTCTTGCAAATAGCTCAGTTATCACCACTGCATCAACAATGTCAACAACAACAACAGTGACAGCAAAAATCATAGTAGGAACAGCGGCAGCAGAAAGAACAATGACAAAGACGAACAATGCAGACAGCAGTTGTCGCATCAACCATAACCACACCACAACAACAAAAACAACAGCAAGAGTAATGAATAAACTCTTTTAATTAGCTTACTTGTCTCTTAGAAGAGCACCTTCTATGGTGGCACCAAATAGTAAAACACATGTCAAGTCTGGAGGTTTAGTTAAAGAATATGAACATCATATACAAGCCTGTTATAGACTTTTGCTTGAAGACATTTAAAGAATATGAAATGCATGGCATTGAAATAGGTGTACAAACAGGTTGGAAGCTGTAGACCATTAGAGCTGAAGCAAGCTTAGGAACATGAGGTGAAGCCAAGTGTTTCTCTTGCTTTTCAAGTGCTCTACAGCTCCCAGTATTGGGTACTATCATCGTGTACGGATTAACGAAGTACGTCATAGGTTTCCGAACACACGAGTGGGACTTAGAAATTTGGGTTCTCCTCACTTAGAAAAAAAATTAAGTGAAGAGACCAAGAATCGAATTCGGTACCTTCGACACCAAAGAACTACTACAATGCCAACCCCAACCCTAACCCTAAACCTAACCCCTAGACCACGAAGTGAATTCAGTTGGGTGGTCTCATTTTTTAGTCATATTTAAACGATGTATCATCAGCGCGTGCACATAAATATTTATTATAGTTTAATTTATGCTATCATAGGGTACGATTACTAGCCGATTACTTGAAATTTGAATTTGAAAAGAATTCCCCTGATAATTCCCGTACACGACGATACAACCCAGTATTGCTTTTATAAAACATTTTTGAATAATTTTGAGTGAGCGTGTCTCTTTCCTTGGATCTTTAAAAACAAAGTAGCATGCTGATTAGGGTGGTTGTTATATCTGAAATATTTTATAAACAAAGGTATTGCACTTAAACCATGACATAACATGTAATAAAGGATACAAATGAAGGATGTTGTTGCTATGGCAGCAATAGTTCCCTTGGGTATTGAGTTCTGTGCATCTTTGAGATCACCAGACCTGTTTGATCCTGCCATTATTCCTGCCGATAGTCAAGGTTAACGTTCAAGTTTAATCAAATTATTTTGAGTGGTTTACTAGAGGACACATGATAATAGTAATGAAAGAGTTGAAGAAGGAAAAAGAGATATTCACAAAAAGTTGAAATAATCAGGCTAGGTACACAAAATTTCAAGTCTTTTCCAGTCACGATTTCTCAGCCTTTTTCTGTGGCTTAACTAAGCATTGAATGTCCAAATAAACAAAGACACTGTTGGTTAATAAATAATTAAGAAAGGGAGTGACAAAGGTTATATGACTTCAGAAACCAATGCTATCTAGCATCATCTTCAAGCATGTTTATCCAAAAGTCGAGAAAAAACCTTGTCATTCTTAATTTGATTTGAAAAATAAAAAATTTCTGAAAATTCAATAACTCTTTTTAAAACTCTCCCCCTGACTTTTCCTTTACTGGTGGGATGACAGACAGACAGACAGACAGACAGACAGACAGGCAGGCAGGCAGGCAGGCAGGCAGGCAGGCAGGCAGGCAGGCAGGCAGGCAGGTGATATATTTAAAAATGAATTAAATAATATGAACTATATATATAGCTATTAAAATGCGTATAAATGATAAATATAAAGTGACTAGGTACTATCCAACTGCCAATTAGACAAATTCTTATTAAAAACTAACCTAGAGGATGAAGTTCGGATATGTGAAGGAATAGAATTCCATAATTTAGCTCCTCTGTAAGAGAAACTTTTTTTAAGGAATTCAGTCCTTGGAATGGTTTGAATTTCTAATTTATCTTCGATAT